AAATGATGTGACTTTTGCACATACGTTGCATAATTAGAAAGCACGTGCGACCTTATTCAATGGGTCACTTCCGACCCTGTGGGAAACCTTCAGGAACCTTGAGCCATCATCCAACTTGGGGCGGGACACGTTAGCACTGAGCCTCTGTTTGCGCGCAATTGACGCATGTAGCAGCCTGGACCTGACACATGATCCGAACAATTGAATAATCAAAAGCTCTCCTTCCTGCAATGTTGGATATGCACAAGAGCACAAAAGTAGAAGGCAAACGCACAAAGCGACCACGCTTCTGTAGGATCCTGATTTGCGGCTCCCGAAAATTCCCAGCGGCCACAATCCCTGCCAAGTTGCTCTGTATTGTACAATGGTGTGTGGCTGCGTCAGCGTGCCAACAACGTACCTGGTGGATCTGTGTTGCTGTGGGAAAGGGAACCCGATAGCCCAAAGAATACTGACTTGAATATCCGCCGACCCCAGGGAACCAAGGGGGTGCGCGCCCGAGAAGCAACGCAAAATATACGAAAGGCAAGAGAAGGGCAGTGTTGAAGAATCGCGAGTGTCGCAGGATCATCTGGTAGGGGGTTTCATTTTATCCGACGACTCAAGGGAATTAGGTTTGGAGCTAGCTAGGTTCGGATTGAAGGTTTGAAGCTAGTTTCTATTGAAGGTTTGAAGCTAGTTTCTAGTCGGTTCAGAAAGTGACGTTTTGCACTCTGGGCTACGGGCCGCGGGCCCGATCCGCCCTTCACTGCCATGGTGTTTCGCCCTTCACTGCCATAGTGTTTTGCCCTTGGACCCGCGCTATGCTAGACGAAAGCAAGCAGGCAGCCAGCAGCGCAGGATAGCCAGCCAATTGAAGGTTTGTGATTGACCCATTGACCCACCTACCACATCTGTCCGCATGCTTTTTGCATTGAGGATTGCGCCACTTGCCGTTGTCCGCGAATGCAGCGCTGGTACATGCGGAAGGTCTCAGCCGGGTACGAAGAGCTGCACCTGGCTGTTGTTGAGGCTCTGCACACTGACCGACTGCACTCACAAATGCAGCTGGGCGACAATTCTTGCAGGTCTTCCGGCATGTCCTCGTCGAGGGGCACGAGTTCCTCATCTCCCACATCCTTGTCCATGGGTTACCCTCCGCCTTGGCAACATCAAACAGTCCGAGGTGGCAACGGTAAGTCCTCACACACCTGACCAATTCTCCAAGCTCCTGGCGACCATCTTCCATGGTCATCACCCAGTAGGTTCCATTCCTCAGCGCGGCACTTTGGAGCATTTGCGCACTGCTGGCGGCCACCCATTGAGCCAAGCTGCTCGGACTGGCAGGCCGCAACTTTGGATAGGTTCTTCCTCATGGGCGTCTGTTCAGGCTGCAAATTTCCAAAAAAAGCTAAGCGTGCGAGACCGAGCCAAATGATCCAAGCGACGCGAAGCAAACCCTTTGCGTTGGAAGTGCATTGATGAAGTTGTCCAAGTCAGTCTGGGTCAGGACCATCGCCTGAGTTGAATGCTACAGGGATTAGCGGTTATTATGGGCCTTCTCGTCACAAGTTCAATGAGGTCAGCAGGTGCAAATCAGTTCAAGTATGCTTCCGCCGGAGTTGGCAATCTGAGCCTTCAAACTTCAGTGCAAAGCGGGCGGTGTTGATGGGGGGTTCGAGCACAATTTCTCGCTGCGGCAGCATGTGCCATTTCAGGCAATCTCAAGAAACTACTTTGTGTGCATCTGCATGTGCGTGTGCGTGTCTGTCCGTGTGTCTGTCCGTGTGTCTGTCCGTGTGTCTGTGTCCGTGTGTCTGTGTCCGTGTGTCTGTGTCTGTGTGTCTGTGTCCGTGTGTCTGTGTCCGTGTGTCTGTGTGTGTGTCTGTGTCCGTGTGTCTGTGTCTGTGTGTCTGTGTGTCTGTGTGTCTGTGTGTCTGTGTGTCTGTGTGTCTGTGTGTCTGTGTGTCTGTGTCTGTCTGTGTGTGTCTGTGTGTGTCTGTGTGTGTGTCTGTGTGTGTGTCTGTGTGTGTGTCTGTGTGTGTGTCTGTGTCTGTGTGTGTGTGTCTGTGTGTGTGTCTGTGTGTGTGTGTGTCTGTGTGTCTGTGTGTGTGTGTCTGTGTGTGTCCTGTGTGTGTGTCTGTGTGTGTGTGTGTGTCTGTGTGTGTGTGTCTGTGTGTGTGTCTGTGTGTGTGTCTGTGTGTGTGTCTGTGTGTGTCTGTGTGTGTCTGTGTGTGTCTGTGTGTCTGTGTCTCTGTGTCTCTGTGTCTCTGTGTCTCTGTGTCTCTGTGTCTCTGTGTCTCTGTGTCTCTGTGTCTCTGTGTCTGTGTGTTTGTGTGTGTGTTTGGGTCTCTCTGCTGTGTCTGTCTGTGTGTTTGCGTGTGTGTTTGCGTGTATGTGACTGTATGTGACTGTATGTGTTTTTTTTTGGTGTGTGTGTGTGTGTCAACCGCTGTTTCTAAGGACAAGGATTGGTACTAATAGAACAACTTTTTAGCATCGGTTTGGCGAAATTGCTTTAAACCCTGCTAAGCATGTCTTTACAACTTTTTTCTTTTTAAAATTTCGCCGGCATTTCCCATTTCTCATTTCCCTCCTTTGCGCCCCTCGGTTCGGTTGTGTTCCCCCCAGGGCCCGAGCTCTCCCCTGAAGTTGTGAATGTTAGAAAAAAAAATTAGCGCATGCCTTGCTCAACACGCGCGCCGGCAAGAGAGAAACTTCAACGAAGCAATTCCGCACCCGCGGGCCAAATCTCGACGCACTGAAATGGCGCGTGCTTGTAGGGTTGGTAGCGGCCCTTGCCCGCATTACTGTAGCTCACTAATATCCCAATGAATATCCCATCAATACCCCCATCAATATCCGGCCATGGCACACTTCCAATTGGCCATCACCAACCTGCTGATTCGATTTGCGATTGGACGTGTGACTTGTATCACTTGACATGGCCATATTCTAGGGAGTTGCACTTTGACATAGCTCATCTGTTGCAGTTTCATTTTCCATGTTTGGGATGGTGATTTGATTGATTTTTTTCCCGCCTGCAGACCACCGAGATCATTGACCAAACCACTGATGAACATGGTGAACACCGCCTGCGGCACCGAGAGATTTTGGGATATCCCCCTGGAGTTTTTGCATGCTACACTGAGGGGGTATTAATTGGAAAACCACCACATGCCGAGTATAAAATCGAAAACCAATATTTCTTCAAAATGACCGGTGTGTGCAAAACCCAAAAAATGTGGATGATTTTTTACGGCAAGATATGTTTCCTGGAATCCCTGGAGGAGACCCTTTCTGACGATTTTTGCATATTTGTTTGGACAGGTGCTGGAATCGATGTCCATAATTGTATGATGTTAAGGGATGTTCAGGGTAACCAAGATGACCATGGCTATAAACATATACCTATATGTGGAACCCAAGTTGGAAAGGCGGCGAGCTGCGTCACGAGGGATGCCAAACCTCCCACGTTTTGCTAACCACTCCAATCTCAAGTTTTTGAATCCTTTGAGCACAAAAATATTAGGCACACCGTCAATCCGATGACTGGGCACAAACATCCTGGTCAACCCTAGCTTTTAAGACTAAACCGTGTAGTCGGAGTAGAGATTTTCGTTGGATGTTAATATAAGGATGGATCAAAACCTTCCGTGCCATTTTTTTGGAATGAACATCCATGCAGCTGTTTTGATGTTCACCAGGGTACCAGGTTTCTTGAGGAGCGGCCGTGCCAGTGGATTCCCATAAAAGGATTGGCAAACACTTAATGACAACATGTCGAATCAACCTTGATTGCTTCGATATCTTCCAAAGCGCCGTCCACTACCTTGGCACGATCCGAAGAAACAACAACAAACATAACACAAAAATGTATTGAAAAACTCAAAGCCCAGGCCTCTGCTCCGATGCCCGCATGGTACTGGTGTCAGTACCACTCACACAGCACCAGTACCACACACAGCACCAGTACCACCCAGCTTTACCTGAGATTTGTGGGATCAGTTGGAATTATGTTGAACCATGTTGAATCCCCCAAGCCCATTTTTGTGGTATCAACCGTGATTTGCGATGGCGTCGTATCTACATGTTGCATCCTCAATATCAGCGCAATATGGCCGTAATATGGCCTCAATATGGCTCAATAGTCCTCCTTGATATGCCTGCAATGTTTCAAAGCGAAGAGAAAGGCTGAAACCCACTGCCGCAATGGTTGGCCAGTGGCCTTGAGCTCCCTCACCCTGCAGGTGGGCCAAGATTGAAAGCTCCAAAATCTCGTTGCTAAGAGGGTGGCCGGGTGTCGGCTTCATAATTTGTGCAATGTTATTTATATGTGTGTCATACTTGATCAGGTTTTTTCCTTTTTCAACAAGGGTGCAGTAAGCAGTTTTATTTGTTGATGGCTTGCCTATAAAATACAGGAACCTGCTTACTACACCCTTGAAAACCAGGACTTTCCCCAGAAATGCCTGAATCAAGGGTTTTAGGATCCAGTAAGCATGTAAGTCTCTTCTTATCACCTGTCCTCGACTATACATGTAAAATATGTGTGTATCTAATGAATTCTGATCACGGTTCTTGCTATGATCATCACTACTACTATTACTCGTGCTATTATCTTTTGCATTTACAGGCAAACTGCTACTGCTTAGTCATGTCTGCTACTACTGCTACTACTATTGCGATCATTATTCCTACTACTACATACTATTACATAATATAATACAATATTACATCGTGTCATATTACACCATATCATAGTACATCGTACCATATCATCTCATATCGTATTCTATAATGTCATACTACATCATACCATATCAATTCATACTATATCATGCTCTACTACATATATATATATATATACATAAATAACTAAACACAAATATATCTATATGTATACATGTACTACTAATATACGTATATATATATATATATACATTCTGAAAATAAATAAGAACACATATTATAACTATTAAAAATATGATATTGTAAAAAAACATGCGTTTCTTCCCTGCCTTCTGGAGAAGCCGTGGCCCCATCAGCGCAATCAGTGTCGCCCCAGGCGGGGCCGTGACCAGGATGCAAAGCACGGCCACGGCCAGAAGGCGCCGCCCCAGCCTCGACGGCGGACAACGATGGACAACGTGTGGGGATTTACCAAGTACTAGTGATTTCTGGTGAAAAAAATATATCCAACATAAGACAATCCAATACAATCCAAGTATCTATAAGTATAGTATATACTAGTGTATCATATATATAGGGTTCGTGGTGCAATAACCATCTTGAAAATTACTTTACTTCGTGTGATCCCCACCATGACATTTATACATTTTCTTACTGGCAAATCTTCTGGCATTCTATCTGACATATCTTCTGACATTCTATTTGGCATTCTATCTGGCATATCTTCTGGCATATGATCTGGCATATCTTCTGGCATATCTTCTGGCATTCTATCTGGCAAATCTTCTGGCATTCTATCTGCATATCTTCTGGCACATCTGACATATTTCTGGCATTCTATCTGGCATTCTATCTGGCATATCTTCTGGCATATATTCTGGCATATCTTCTGGCATTCTATCTGGCATATCTTCTGGCATTCTATCTGACATATCTTCTGCATATCTTCTGGCATTCTTCTGGCATATCTTCTGGCATATCTATCTGGCATATCTTCTGGCATATTTTCTGGCATTCTATCTGGCAAATCTTCTGGCATTCTATCTGGCATATCTTCTGGCATCTGGCATCTATCTGGCATATCTTCTGGCATTTATCTGACATATCTTCTGGCATTCTATCTGACATCTTCTGGCATTATTCTGACATATCTTCTGGCATACTCTTCTGGCATTCTATCTGGCATATCTTTCTATCTGGCTATTCTGGCATATTTCTGGCATATCTTCTGGCATTCTATCTGCAAATCTTCTGGCATTCTATCTGGCATATCTTCTGGCATATATTCTCATGGCATTCTATCTGGCATTCATCTGGCATTCTATTTGGCATTCTATCTGGCATATCTTCTGGCATATCTTCTGACATTCTTTCTGACATTCTTTCTAACTTTCTTCTGCACATTCTTTGTCCCATATCTTCCTACATGAGGTCCGGCAGGGAACACTTGGCGTGGATACTCGCGGTTGAGGTCCGGCAGGGAACACTGGGCGTGGATGGTCGTGGTTGAGGTCCGGCAGGGAACACTGGGCGTGGATGGTCGTGGTTGAGGTCCGGCAGGGAACACTGGGCGTGGATGGTCGTGGTTGAGTCCGGCAGCGAACACTGTGGATCGCGAGTCGCAGTTGAGCAGGAGGACGAGGAGGACAACGAGGACGACGAGGACAACGAGAGGACGACAAGGATGACAAGGATGACAAGGAGGACGAGGAGGACGAGGAGGAGAGGAGGAGGAGGAGAGGAGGACGAGAGGAGGACGAGGCAGGAGGAGGAGGAGGCAACTGACATAAAATCTAACAACCCTCACCTGGCAGGTGGGGAAATATGAATTCGTCAATGGGAAGGATTATCCCATATATTATGGAAAATAAAACATGTTCAAAACCACCAACCAAATATATATATATATATATACAATGTATATATACCTAGTGCAATCAGAGATTGTAAATGTATAACTAGTCTTGGTATATTCTGGTAATTATATATATAATTATGTATAACTGATATATATATATAAATATATATAACTAGTGCATTACCAATAATAGTGGATTGCCAGTAATAATAGCTATACATACATTATAATACCAGTTATATATATAATGTAAAAACATAATGTCAACCCCGGAACACAATGGTTTATGAATTCGGGCGGGGAGTACCCCAAATAGTGATCATTTGATACTCAAATGGTACCCACCCCCCAACTAAACAGCCGTTTGGGGTTATTAATCCAGTGTTGGCATTGTATATAGTAATACTAAATATGTATGAATAGTAATATACTAAAGATTGATACTAAAGATTGTAAATATACTATTCAAGATCAATATTAATATACTATAGTACTTGGTGAATCCCCAGATAGTAATGTATATATGTACATATTGCTTGCAGATCATGTTACCATGTATTGATAATAATAATAGTATTATATTATAGTAGTATGGTACATAGTAATAATAACAGTACTATATAGTAACATACTATACTAATAGTAATATACTAAAGGTGAAGATATTGTTTTTGGTTAATATGTGATTTTGATTGCAATAGTAATATGGTATCCCTATTGCAAGAGTAATATAACTATGAATGGTTAATAGTAAGTACAGTTTACTAACTTTTAGCCGTGATTCATGATTAAACATAAGAGCAATATACTACGCTAATAGTAATATACTAAAGGCTGATATACTATTAATGATTACCCTCTGGTAAACTAACATAACTATGGAAAATGGCCCAGATATAGTTGATCTACCTATTGGAAGTGGAGATTTTCAATAGCTATCTTAAATTACCAGAGGAAAATACAATATTTATTGACGTGCCGTACTAATGAGGATTTAATCGTCAACAAGTAACGGAAATATCACCGATCAAAATGCAGGTTTATTGCTGGTAACATCATCTGTCTATGGGGAATGTATAGGTAATACACTCCGGTAATTTGTGCCAGTTTGCTATGGAAAATGGCCCATTTATAGATGAGTTCGGATTGTTGACCTATTTATTCAAATAGTGATTTTCCATAGCTACGGAATTAATAATGGATACTGATTATACTAAAAAATAATATATACTATATTTACATATATTTGCTATGGTATACTATAGTATTCACCAATTAATGGCTAATGTACGAATCGTAAGAACGGTAAAGGAAATTAGTTAGCAATGGCAGCAATATACTAATAGTAATATCCTAAAGGTAAATATATGTGCTGTATATATATAATATATTATGCTAATAGACCATGAATGGTTGACGATAATGAAGGTTATTATTACTTTGAGGATCATCGCTTAGTAACAGATTAGTGGGATAACCCCGCTGGGGACCTACTAACTAGGCCCCTAGACTAAGCACTTACTAGAGATATTAACATCAATATACTAATAACATTAGTGGGTACACGAACTCCATTTTCTATTGCTGATAACCATTATTAACCACTACTAGTGGAATGTTAACCATATTATCAACCATTGTTAATCACTGATCCATCGATGTAATGGGCACATTAACTACTAATCAACACTTATTGACCACTACTAATGGGTACATAAACAAGTATGAACCATATTAACCGGTATATCAACATGAATTAACCACTATCAACTGGTCTAAAACCACGGTTAACCACAAAAAAAAAAACACATTGTATTACAACAATGAATGTAGTAAGCCCAATAATGAACCATCCCCAATAGATGCTAACTATTGGATATACCCCTAGTTGGAATGATGTAAAATGACCCCCCCCTCATGGTTGGTTGATGGGATTGTTTATGATTGGCTTTATCACATTACAATATTCACGATTATTACCCTCTGGTAAACTTACAAAAAGCTATGGAAAATGGCCATTTATAGTGAGTTGTCCCATTAAAAATGGTGATTTTCCATAGTTATGTTAGTTTACCAGAGGGTAACCACTCATCAATTGCTTCGCTATTAACCATTCACTGATAATCCCCAAAATTAATATGTGGATATGTATAATCGTTGACCATTATTAACCACTCTTAGCCATGATGAACCATGTTTAACCACTACACATTATAAAGTATTATAACCATATTATTGGCCAATATTAACCATTCTTAACCTTTATTGACCACTGTGAATCATTCTGACCACTCATCAATTGATGATGAGCTTGGGACCAATGGTTGTGAACCATGGTAACCCCAGTTGACCACTATTAACGATATTGAACCACTATATCATGACATACTATATATATAATATTGACCCATATTAACCCATATTAACAATTGCTAACATGTATTTACTATTACTATGGGTTAATATTGGTAAATGGCCAATAGTAAATTAATTAATAACTATTCCAGTGACATGGAAACTAGTCCTTATCAACTGAAGAGTACTATTAACATCAATCATATTGGTGATGTACTAATCAATATCTTTACTATTAACCACTCATCAACGGAGCAGCGTTTTTTATCGTTGTCTTTCGGTGACCAGTAGCATATAACCTACGCATCTGTCTACGCTGAGGTAGCCTACGCGGGGTATGGTTTCTGATACAAAGGGGTTCCTACGCGAGCCTACGCGGTGTAGGCTTTCCTACGCGGCTATGATTCCTTTTTGTTTCCAATTGTCGCATGACGTTTGGCTATGCAATTGGGATGCTGGGAGCTACTCGTTTGTAGATGATGACGAAGAGGAAGTTGACGATCCAGAGGAGGAAGAAGATTGACATTACAACGAACCAATGCAAAAGTGAATGGGTTCTAACTGTTGTCAACGAGTGTCTACGCAAAGCCTACACCGTGTAGGCTAAATCAAGCCTTCGCGACTGCCTACGCAACCTACGCTGTCTGCATGGAAGCCTACGCCATGGGCATAACATGTCTTGTGGAGTTCCCACTCTATTTACTCTTTTGCATCCGGAAAAAAAAACGCTACTCAACTGGCAGTGTGTCAAAACCAATAGTACCCCTGTAGTTCACATCAAAATAGCTGGGATTTATGGATGTTCATCCCCCTAAAAATGGTATTAATAGGTATTGATCCATAGCCAACTGGTTTCCAGCTGGGAAATCGCCAAGGCACAGCTCCTCGTTGTCCTCCCTCGCCTCATCGAGCGCCAGGCCTCCCAGGGCTGCCTGAACCGTGGCTTTGGGCGTCCAAGCGATGGCCGTGAAGAACTTCTCCTGCCCGTTCTGGGCGAAACGGCACTAGGGAAACGTGTTTCATGAGGGTTCAGAACTGGTGAGTTTAAGGAGTTGTTCAGTTTGAGCAAGATGCTGTAAGATGCTGATGTAGCAGAAATGCGGATGTAAGCAGCAAACAATTGTGATTTGCCCATCAAAAAAAAGGAAACTCAGATCAAACATGTCGATTTCATTCGATTTCGCCATCAGAAACTGGCGATTGAACCATGATGAATGGGGATTGAATCATTGACAAATTGATATTTGACCATAACACCTTGTGGGGTTTACCTTGTTTTTGATGTTTTTGGGGATGATGTAACACCCAGTCATGGCTGGTTATTGAATTGGTTTTACCACACTAAGTTCATGTGCGGCCGGTTGGCAGCCGGGGATGTCATCCATCCGACTCCTGTTGTTTCATGCCACGGCCGCTCAGCGCCAGCATGACGGCACAAAAGCGAACCAGACCAGCGATGAAAATGATCAGAAGTCCACCAGCCAAGGTTTCTGTCTCCAAGTCGGTCACCTTGTCGAAGTCTGGAAGTCTAGGAGTCTAGGTCTACTTTTTGGGGGGTGATATTGATTCATCATTTTTTCTGTGGAAAAAAATGGGTCGAGTTTGCATGGTTTGCATCTATAGTGTATAACCCAGTAGCATAGTTTTCCCAGTGGTTGTTCAATGGATGCCAACATATGCTAACCCTTCTATTAATGAAGCAAGTGGGAACAGGACGCCCCTGCACCCACAGTTCTCCGCAAGATGTCATCAAGGCTCCACCACTGATGCTCCGACCAAGCTGAAAAGCAAGGGTTGGGCAAGCCTCACTGCGGGGAGATGTCCTAAGAAGGAGGACCTTCACCATTGATTTGCATCAAAAAGATTCAAAAAGGACCAATAACTTGGGTGAGCTTGACTCCAAGACTCAGGAAAACGTCGGAATTTTCACTGCCTTTCAACACGAATCATCTTCGAAAGACTGGATGTTTCCATGTTGTGGTACCCCCCCAAAAGATCATCCAAGTCATGGATGACCATTTTGGTATTGAAACAACCATGGTTTTCCGACTGGGGATCCCCCATGACTCGCCTCGTCCAAAGATCTGCTATGCTGGCAGACACTGGCTTGGCAGCTGGACCCCAACCTGTAGTAACGCTGCTGCGCTGTGAAAATCCCATGGTGTTGTAGCCACTCAGAACCTCAACAACGCACCTTTAGGTGGGTTGTATCCCATGGATCCCTATGAAATCCCATGAAATCACCATTTTTGATGCTTAAATCCAATGAATCAGGGTCTGCAGGTTTCCTCTAAAGGCTCAAAGCAAAGGAGATGGCTGGCCTCTTGCGCAGCCAGCGCCCAGTACTAAAACCGCCAGTGCTGCGGCACCAGAAAAGCCCACCTGCAGCCAGCAATGTAAGTATCTGATGGAAACTCCCTGGGGCTCCCCATTTCCAGAGGGAACACAGATACCCTCTGGTTATGTCAAAATAGCTATTGAAAATGACCATTTATAGTGGATTTTCCCATGAAAAATGGAGATTTTCCATAGTTATGTAAACGTTTACCAGAGGGTACCCCCTCCTTAGCTCGCTCCCCACATACCCACTGGAGAGTTATAGCCATTGGAAGCACCGATCCAACACGGCGATTCTGGTCGTGGCGCAGTGGCGCCTCTCTCAGACCAAAGGCGGTGCACAGGGCTGCGCTGAGCAACAGCAGCAGTCGCAGGTCCTTTGCGCCTTCCTGCCACTTTACGGGCCACGTCAAGTGAGTGAAAAGGCCATCTTAATGGAGATCGTTTGAGACACACAATGTCTTCACCAGGCACTCAATCTTGCTATCCCCTACACAGGTGATTCTTCAATTGAGATCAAAAAAACCCAAGTCTTGTGGGATGAAAATATAAAGTAGGATGGACATTCTGAAAAACACAACGGAATCCAATTTTCGTTATGTCATGGCTATATTTTATGAGGTTTTCCATCACCAGAAGATAGCTATTTTCATCTATTTTCCATTATTTTCCATCACCATGATGTCATATCCCAGTGTAGGCCCGAACATGACAAACATCTTGGTTGAGAACGGGATTCTTCGCTCATGGATTGTGATAACCCCGAATAGATTGCATGGTAAAATTCCCTATCATCATTCCCTATAATCATCAAGCAACAGGGTTTCCGAAAATGAAAGACCTATAATCATCATTCCCTATAATCATCAATCATAGTATATTCCCTACAATCAAGACCTTGAAACATCTTGAAACATCCTGAAACCACGAACCGTTCGTCTCCTCCTCGTTAGAGCTTGGAGTCAATACCGCGAGCAGCGCCTGCACTCACTGAGGCAGCTGGATGTCTGCTTCAAGGCTTTGAACATGGGGTATAATACACCTAAATTCATCTGGTTGGTGGTATACCTACCCCTCTAAAAAATATGAGTTCGTCAGTTGGGATTATTCTTACCAATATATGGAATATATAAAATGTTCCAAACCACCAACCAGTGATTGATTGATTCCAGTAGCCATCATTCTCCTGTTAAACATTGCGAATTGTGGAGTACCCTCCGGAAATCAAACATCTCAATGGAAAATCACTGTACACTGTAAATGGAGGTTTGTAGCTGGAAAGATCATCTGTAAATCGCGGATCTTCAAAGAACCCCACATTTCCAACTGCTCTTTGCAGCCGAGAAGCGGCTCCAATCATCCCTGTGCCTCAATAAACTTCAGAAAACCACCATAGCTATCGCTCAGTTTCAAGGGGGGGTCTGGCATATGATGGCGCTCCAAACCATCCACAGGCCGATGATGGCCCAGGCCCATAACCCCACCGAGCGACCCAGGCCCAAAAGTAGTTCCAGAGGTGCCCTGGCATAGTTGAGCCAGCTGCTTTCCGCAAAGCTAATCCCCAAGCAGATGCCGAAACCTCACGGCGTGGATTTCATCAGGGCTCCAGCAGACGGTGTTTCATGGGGATTTCACTATGATTTGGGTTTCTCAAAAATTGGTGGATTGAGCCAATTTTATTGCTTGTAAGGATGTGTTTTTGAGAGGCGGTACAAGTACCTTGTTTGAATCAACAAAAACAGAGGCATAAATCTCTCTAACAAGTCATGTGTGATTGCAGAATCCAACTCTGTTCCAACAACTGATGGGACACAAAATTTCTTGCTGTGTAGCAATGCCGTCAATGCTGTCTTTGACGTCCACAATATAGTGCATGCTGTAGTGCCTATTTTGCTCCAAACACCAGCATACGTCTCCGCTTCTTGCCCAGGACCAACAAAAATGGCACCCCAAAACCCCGTTGGCTTTAAAACCAAAAAAATATGAAAATTGACACAGAACATAGAAACCGCTATCTCTTCCCGGATATTTAAAAAAAAAAACATGTTTTTTTCCTATTTTTCTGGTGGAAACTCCGCAGGAAATCAGCCCACATCCAACCTGCAATCGACAAGACATCGTCCAACGGTGCGGCAGCTACCACCATAGTTGGGATTCCAGCTTCCACACCAAAGCCTTGGTCCTGGGGAAATCTGGAAATCCATGGAAATCCACGGCATTTTAGGGCATTTTCATAAGAACATCATGGGAAAATAGGGGAAATCAATGTGAAAATCATAAGAAAATATGGAACATACCCTATAAAAAAGGGGTTTCCATGCAGGAAATCCATAGAAAATATGGGACATCACCTATACATCGAAGTTGACATGAGAAAATCCGGAGAAAATATGGGAAATCACCTATACATCGAAATTTACATTGGAAAATCCGGAGAAAATATGGGAAATCACAATCAAAAGGATGCAATGATCAGAGAAATATGGCAAAACCCTTCAATTTGGCGATAGTCACCCCGAAAAAACCACCATCCCGGTGTTGTCACGACGTTTTTTGTCATGATCAAATTCATCCAGATATCCCCAGAACATCCCCGGTAAAATGCTTGGTTTAGTTATCCAAGTTATCCCCAATGCGAAATCACATTGTATCATGATTGTGGGTCCAAACCTCTAGGTTGGTGCCATGTACTGGTAGATACTGATGGTGGTACCAGGTACCCATCCCCCAGGAATCCCCATATCTGGTCCCCCATATCCAACCCATCCAACCCCGACCTGCAGGGCCAACAATGAGGGCACCACCACGGCTGGAGAGATAGCAGCGACCACAAAGCCCAACATTGCAGCCCAGAGCGGAGGGAAGTCCTGCAGCTACCAGCCACAGCCAGTCTCAGAAATGGATCGATGGGAAATGTGTGCTGATGTACTGATGTACCTGCGTAAAATGTCATCCCTTGATCATGAGAAATCGGGTTTTTTTACTTTAGATTTCATGGATCTGTCACTTCGGGTGGGTCTCACTTGTCATCATTGTCATCATTCATCCGGCGCCCAGAAAAAATAACTGGCTGACTATAGATGTATAGACATAGATGTATGTGATGTGATGTGATGTGATGTGATGTGATGTGATGTACTGTACTGTACTGTACTGTAATGTAATGTAATGCAATGTAATGTAATGCAATGTAATGTAATGTAATGCATGTATGCATGTATATTAGATGTGTCACAAAATAGGGGTGCACAGGAACGGGCCACTCTTTTGAGTGAGATCTATGAAGCCTTCCACCTATACCGTTGTAAACCTCACTTCACCTCGGCGAATCAACCATCAGAAACCACTAAAAAACTTGGCCTTGATACTTCGGAGGCGTGTCAGCAAACATGGGGAAATCCCCAATAACTCAATATGCATCTATAATATTCTATAATCATCTATATTAATGCTGGATTTTCCAGCCATGTTCGATGGCACCAGAGGGTAGCAGCCTGTAAAGAACCTGAGATACTTGAGTTCCTTCAAGAAAAAAATCACTAGAAATATATCCGAACCTAAGTTGTTTCAACCAAAAAAAACACATTAAAGTCACTGGAGATATATCCCATCTATGCCAACATTTCGAGCTCGGTCCAGCAGCCATGTCGCCAGCAGAGCCGCCGCGGTCGCTTCGCAGAGGCAGGGCAGCATCGCAAGGCGCAGGACCTGAAGCCCCATGAAAACTGGAGCTGTTCATGGGAAATCATGGGAAAACGATTGGAACATCGCCCAATTTTCTGGAACCCTGGGAAAATTCTGCGAACTGACTGGAGGTCATGGGAAAATCGTAGGAAAACCCATCAAGAATTGTCTGTTTTGGAAACTCATCGAAATGGGGGATTTGGCAGCTAGCCATGTCCGACCACCAGAGGGTAAATGGTCAATGGTGGTTTGTTTCCTTGATGTCACCACTTTTTGGCTGGTTCATATGGTTCATCTTCCTGTTTTTGTTTGTGAAGATATCTCCATGTTTTGGTGATGAATATCATAAATATCCATCTCCTTCTGGTTATTCCATGCCATTTATATAGTCGTTCTCAAACATCCACATCTTCGAATCTTTCTCCAACCTCAGCGGATTCCACGTCAAAACTCGACTGAAGCACTACAAAGCGCAAGCGCAAGAGGGCATTCAAATCCATCGCCAATCCAGCTCGCGTAAGGATCAGCGTCAACGCACTCAACCTCTCGCGGACGCAAAAACAGGCTCACAGGACTCACATACTTCAGAAAAAAAAAACAGTAAGATTTGAATATCTAACTACTGGTTGGTGATTGAGCCACCACGCTGAGAATATGATATAGTCAATGGGATCATCACCACATGTCTATGGATGTATTTTTTCATATTTCAAACCAGCAACAATGATGTGGGGATATCTCAATGTAGGCAAATTACATGGGGGTTCAAAACCTAGTACTATATTTCGGGCTTTATCATCCATTCACCAATATTCACCATCTTTTTGGGGTACCATCCGGGTAGGGTTTCTTTTCACACGCCTCAGGGCGGAAGACCACTCTGGATCCACCTGCATGTGCGGGAGCAATGGGGAAACACTGCGACGCTTGCGATGTATTGCATTGCATTATTCTGGCTGAATCATACAAGGTGGTGCCCCATAGTTAGCTAAGTTGGTTTATAAGTCCAATAACTATGGTTTATAGGTGATATATTTATAGTTAATGGGATTATAACCCATTTATAACTTGGGGGGGCACCACCTTGTAGTCATTCACCAACCTTTAAATAGCTGAAATATTCAGCCATTTGGGGATGGTTCCTCTTACTGCTCTTACTAACTAACCGTAACTAACCATTATTCCACTGATTATTACAATATATTGGGCTGCATTGCATTACACCGCATTACATTGCTCTCCCACTGTAGGCTGATGATGGCAGCCATGCCGATCTATGGAAAGTGGAAATTCGCTTTGCTCTGCATTACATTTTTTCTTTTAAATGTAACATGTACGCACAAGCATATGTTATTGAATATACCCTCAGTCCATTCATCTGTACATTAGTACGTGTGTGTATATATATATACACATGCATATACGAACACACATTTACGCTCTAGATATTTAATTAGTGTACATGTTATACATCTCTTCAACACTGAGCATATGGTTTTGTTTGAAAACAGGCTCCCCAGAAAAATTGATGGTCACCCTCTGTCAATTCAACATAGCTATTGAAAATCACAATCTTTAGTAGGTACCATCTGGTTATTTAACATAGCCATGGAAAATCACCATTTTTAATAGGTAAACCATCTATAAATGGGCCATTTTGCATGGCTACGTTAAATAACCAGAGGGTACATCATCTATGAATAGGCAATGTTCCATCGGCAACAGATTCCCAGATCGTATGACGGTCCATAGATTCGGCATAGTTCGACTTTCCCAGCTAGAAACCTCGATGTTCATCGAGGATTTCCCAGCCTAGATTCCTAAATGGTTAAATCCTCATTTTTCTTGGTTATCCTCCTAAGTCTTGTTACGTTTTGATGTGGAAAATCAACCCTTTGTAGACTATTCTCCTAAGGCTTCACCATGGCTCTTCCACATCTTTAAAAGTGTTTTCTCTATATTTCCCCCAGGTTTTTCCATTAAAAACATAGCATTTTCCATCAACAAAAACCACCCAACGTTTTTTTGGTGTCCCGCATGGATTGGAAAACCTCCATACATTACCCTCTGGTAAACTAACATAGCTATGGAACATCTCCATTTTTAATGGAAAAATCAACTATAAATGGCCATTTTCAATAGCTATGTTAAATTACCAGAGGGTAAGCATCAATTTTTGGTCGACCCCCAGAAATTCGGCTGGCCAACCCGCTTCTGCACCTGTTTCCCGATCATGGTGCCCAGTTCCGGCACGTTCCGCAGCAAGAAGCCGACCAGGAGCCTTCGGTCGCCGCTACGGAAGAATGATAACGTCATGGTAAAAAATAGGCGGAGTATAGCCAATCAACATTAGGATATATCATCAACAATATGATATTGTGTCTGATTTCATAGGGTATATACAGTAATTATATACCTCCTATTTTAGCAATTTTAATAGGGAGAATGATGATTCAAAAATAAGCGGAATGGGGTATATATGTGAATTCACAATTCAAACTATACTTCTCTCTTGCCAGTCTTCAAGGTATCTATACGTTTTCACTTGTTTAATGGGTATTATATAGATAAGATATATAGATAGATAGATAGATCAATAGATAGATAGATAGATAGATAAATAGATAGATAGATAGATAGATAGTGTGAACAAATGGATCCTTGTTCTGGATGTAGTTATTGAGCTGTGATACCCGTTATGCTGGTAGCTTTGGACAGCGTTACGGCATTGCAAGCGGAGCTCGGACTTTTCCTCGCGCAGGGACTTGAGCCAGTACGGCGTTTCAATGCACAATCACATATGTACATGATAAGTGTCCTAGCGTTTAGTTCCCTTTGACACCCCCCATGCCCGTGGCATTCTTCGAGCCACGGACACGAGAGAGGGAACTTTGAATTAGATTTGTTCTGCTACTTGAATTACGCCTATTTACATAAAGCGTGCCATTCGGATCCCCCTTCCCCACATACCCGTCGGGTATAATGGTTCAGGGTTCACCTACTCTTTGGCTGTCGATGCATCGGCGCTTCATCAAGCTGTACAACGCGAATTATTGCTAGCTAACATCTACTTTTCTACGTTGGCTAAGCCCGCCACTCACCCGTCGGGAGAAATGGATCGCCTCGCTACCAAAGATTTACAATGCTAACTAACGAATTCACGTGCACAATGCAGAATTTCGTGCAGATTGGGAATATCAAAAGTCTTGAACCTAAGCGAATTAGTCTAATGCCTCGCTCAGTGTCCACTCAGTTGGTCTTTTCCTGATCATCTGTTCATAAAGACGGTAAACATCTTGTAGCCCAGTGATCATTTTGACGGATCGAAGCAATTGGTTTACTGCTCACGGCGGACTTTCTTCCATTGAGGTGCTGTTGGAGTTCTCTCCCATCCTGCCGCACGTTTCGGAGCAGCCTTCGGCGATGAAGGCTTTGCAGGCGGTGCCTTTGATGGTTCATGGGATTTCGGCATAGCCTTGCCCTTTGGTGCGCTAGCCGATGAGGACGATGCTGAACCAGTGCCTTCAGGTGTCTGTGAAGGTTGTGCAGGTGGTTTAGCAAACTTGGAAGCTGCAGTATGTCCAACCGCTTTGAATACTTCACTCACCACTTCGTCGCCAAGGGTTGGAGCCATCTTCGTTTTCATCTTGGTCTTTCCCCTCTGCGCCTCGGCCTCGGCCAGCTGAATAGCATAAGCCATCTTGCTGACAAAGTTTTGAGGTAAAGGAATGCCACATTGTTGGGCGGCAAAGAGCAGTTCTACTCTCTGTTCTTTCTCCCTCAGGCTCAAATATACCGAGAAAGCTGGGAGTTCGATGCAGTTGGGGAAGCCGTGGCTCCCAGAGCGAAAGAATGTGTATGACTCGTGCTCCGGAAAGGTTCCTTTGAGCAGTCGTCGAAGGAAGTTGCTGATGGTTACTCGCATCTCCTGTTTCCCTTGGGCATCAGCCTGCATTCGGTTCATTGGCATGAGAAAGCCTAATGACTCAGGAGTGTACCCAGCGCGTACCAGAAATTCCATCATCTTCTCATAGATCTCTAAAGTCTTGATGACAGGCATCATCATGTTTCTTGGTCGCCCTGAGTATAACTTCTCTCCTTCTGACCATGAATTCCTCTTCCCTTTCTGCTGAAAGAGTTCATCCAATTCCAGCTCCGTCGGTCGCTTGAGGTTGCCATCCTGGTCTTCTCCTGTATAAGGACAGAAGTCGTCCAGGTCCAGCCGGACTCGCTTGGTTTCCGTCATCATCTCATAGTACTCCTCTGGGGTCAGAGTGACTCTCTGTTTGTAGTAGAGCCTGAACATTGTGATGATCTTTGACATGACGGCATTGTCATACAAGTGAGCCGCGGCCTCGGAGACATCATTGTTGATAAGTCCGTCTTCTGGCATACCCTTGCTGCCGCTCTCGAGGTTCTTGGTCCATGCTGGAAGTTTGGAAGAGGATTCATCTTCAGGTTCGACTTCCATTTCATCGTCGTCTTCTTCAACGATTTCGTCGTCTTCCTGTTGGGCTTCCTCCTCCTGATCCATTTCCTCATCATCGCCTTCGTTGTAGTCGACCTCGTCAGGATTGAAGCCATAGTCGTTGGATTCGGATACGTTTTCTTGTGCTTGATGGACCGTATCCTTGAACAACGATTCTTCTTGTCGACGAACTTCTTCATCGATCTCTTTCTTCGTGGCCTCATCTTCATCGTCTTCAGGAGCTTGTAGCCGATAGGGACGGATTCCACAACTTTCAAGTTCCGTCCAGCAAACTAGACACACTGCTAGTTTTGTCGGCGTCTCATTGAGACAGTGAGGACAATGGCGGCAACCTGATGTTTGCACCCTTTTGCGTTCGACTATGTAGTCAATCAGCTTGATGCGGGCCAGGTATTGCTCTTGTCCGCCAGGCTCGATGAGGTTGTTCTTGAATTGGTTGACGATGTTCATGGCATCCATGGCGGTTTCGTCAAACGGTTGATCTTCGGCGTCGATGCACTGACTTGCAACCCTCAAGATGGACTCCTTGGTGGCTACCGTTCTTGATTTGATAGTTCCAGACCGGACTACCTGGTCGTCGCCCGACGGGACGAACAACCGGAGCCATGTCTTATTGTTTTGGTCCTTTGGGTCCTGAATCCATCCTCCTTTGATTGCCGAGAACGGGATGATCTTTGGTGAGACGATCTGTCCCGAGTCAGTCAGTCGACCGCCATATTCCACCATCAAGGTCTCGGTCGGGACGAACAAGCAAATGTAGTCCCCTCTTCGCGTATCAACGCTCTTCGTGATGGTCCATGATCTGTGATCCCATGGCACATACGGGTTGAAGAACGTGAACATCCGATGACCTTCTCCAAGACCTCCTGGAATTAGTCCCTGCCTCCAAATGCTTCGAAGGTTGGTCTTCTTGGTGATGTGGAAACAAACCGGTAACGACAAAATGGTGTTGGGCGCGATTGGATGTGAAAGTAATGAGGACAGCAATGAGACGTCGTCCCTTGAAGATCCTTCTTTGTGCCCCGTAGGAGCACGGACCGCCACAGGGTAGAGCAGTAGACCTTCATCAGGAATGTTCGTGTTCGCATCGACTTTGTTGTCAATGCACGTCAGGCTGGTGCGCTCAATGTCCTTGTTGATACCAAATGCCAAGACTTGTTCACGAACGCGACGTCCATACCGGGCACAGTGGAACATGATCTTGAAGAGCAATGTCATGCGGTAGTTTGCCTCATCGACATTCCATGCACTCTGATCATTTGCTCTTCCTTTTGGAGCAAGGAATACATGTGGCCAGCGTGCGTACTCGTGCCTCCAGATGGACTCACATTTGAGCACCTCCTCGATGGGCACCCAGCCGGCGTCATCACATGACAGACTCTGTTGTTCTGATACCTTCCCCACGTTGTGCCGCAGGATCCTGTTTAGTGATGAACTCACCTTGTCCTCGTAGGTATTGAGCCGGTTGCCAGTCTCGAAGCGGTAGTTGGCCGCATATTCTACACCTCCAAAGTAAGAGCAGTTGAAGAAATGGGCCCCCGTAGTCGGGATGATTTTCAAGAAACCATCTTGCGGCGCCTCGACTCTCTTGTAGAAGGGCTTCCTGATGTTGTTATCAGAGTAGCTTGCCATGAAGTCTGGCACTGACCAAGAGTCACCTCCTCCTCTGACAATAGCGTCTCTGACCACTTCGTTGAGGTCAACAATGTTCTGTGGTCCTAGCTTTGTAACATCACGTCCTTCTATGCAGAATCTACCATACTCATCGAGGTCACCAACTTCGGACATAGTTCTGATGCTGTCGTACCATTGGTGTTCACTAAACCTCGATTTTGTAGGTTCATCCGTTTGTCCCGACCCATCAGTAGCACCTGAACCGTCCTTCTTGTGCTCAGGAGGCTCCATATCGACGTCATCAGATGTTGGACTATCAGCCTCGAGCGACGCTCGGACGGCCTTTAGCACCTTTCTGACTTCATCCCTCTTCTCATGTTCACATTCAAGATGGCCATGTTGGGTGCTACCACAATACAAGCACACGTTGACATCCTCAGAGACGGTAAAGAGTTTTCCCAACGCATCCAAAAGTTGTTGTTTCCCGGAATTCTCTGAGTCCCTGACCACATCGGTGGGGTCGTTCGCTGGCTCATCAGCTTCCTCCTCCCCAGGGTGAGCCGACGACTCGTCACCTGGCTTGGCATCGGCATCAGTGCCCATGCTGGCGTCACCCCCTGTGATGTTGTTCTTCCTGCGATAATGAGAGAATACCTGATCCTTCTCCCAGTCCGTGAGGCAGCAGAAATTGGCCAGCGAGTCATATCCGGGGATTGCGTGGATGAGCTTCATGACCCTTTCGGCTTCTGCAGTTTGCAGTGTGCAGTCGAAGGATCCCCGTCTCTTGTCATTGATGGTGCTCGAGGTTCGGGAGGTCGATGTGAATTGAGCCAGTGCCTTTTCCAGTCCATTGAGATACTCAGCTGGATCAACGCTAGCATTGAAAACATCCACGACTCCCTTGGCCATATTGGCCACGTCCAAGACACCAAGCCAGAACTCGATGATATCTCCAGTTTTCTCGGCAGATGCACGGGAGAATCCAAAAATCTCGTTCCTCTCCTTCACCTCGGGAACGGCAACCTTTTCGAAGAAGTCTTTGTATGCGACATTTCCGCAATCCTTTGTGACTCTATAGATCAAAAGCCACTTCTTTGCAACATCATCGAAAACTCTTTCGCGATATATGCTGAATTGCTTGCCGCGTCCGTTCCGGAAAATTTCCAGAGCTTGCCTCT